TAGTTTGTACAGAAAATTATTTTTTTATTTTCTCATCTTTCGTTGAGACTTTTGTTAATCTTTACAAATTTATTTTTTGTATGTAAGACATACAAAATGAATATTTGAAATAAATACACGTAGAAAGTACTACTATAAGTTTTTTGCAATTTCTGTACAATCAAGTGTTTCAAATTCCTATGTATTATTATTAAAATCAATTATATAAAACTTGAATTTAATCGACAACATGCTTAAATTTTTCGCCTTCCTACAATAACGAATCTGTCATACACTAAAAATGAACTCGTAAAGATTAGCAAAGACCCCTATGCAAGATGATAAGTTTTATAAAATTAAAAAATAATTTTCCTGTACAAATTATTAATCAAACAACTAATGTTTAATTTTGTAAAAATAATGTTTAATTTTATCTCCTTTTATATGTGTTTGAAATACTTATAATACAATCGAATATAAATATATAAAACTTTACTCATTATTTTTTTATAATGATATTTATATAATAATGATATTTTGTCCATTATACATAAACTAAACATTATACGTAAATACAATTTCTCAATATAGTAACAAAACTTTTCAGTCAACAAAACAATTTGTAATTTTCTTATGTCAAAATCTTAGAAAACATTAATTAAGTCAATTAAATAAAATTTGAATATTTCAAAAAATAGCATTTCCACAACTTCGCATTTCTTTTAAATTTGATCACGTTTAGTTAGTACTATATATTTAAAACTTCATCAAAATTGAATACTTATTAGGATAGCTTATTAAAGTTGAGTGTTTTGAATTAATAAGCTTAATTAATAAAAATCAGATAATACATAATTGTAATATTTTATCTTATTTAAATTATAAACATGTTTTTATATTCAATATAATATAATAAATTGAAAATATACAGATTGCATAAAATAATTTTACCTTTTAAGAAAAGTAAAAGAAAATTAAAATTTTTCAGCTTTGCAATTGTTCCATTTATTTATCGTATTTATTGTTAGTATCAATATATTGTTATATCGAATTTTTTTATATTCATATCATCAACTTTTTTATTCTGATGTCATAATTTGTTTTTTATTTATGCGAGCTCTAGTGGATTCTGAGTTCGACCCCGCTTCGAACTGAGACCTATACTCGATTCTGACGAGGGCATTTTGTTCCGTTCTAAGATGTTCCACCTGCACTCGATTCGGATGAGGGCATTGTGTTCGAAGCTGCTCCATTCTGAGACGTTTCACTTGTATCCGATTCGGACGAGGGCATTGTGTTCGAAGTTGCTCCATTCTGAGACATTCCATCTGTACTCGATTCGGACGAAGGCATTGTGTTCGAAGCTGCTCCATTCTGAGACGTTCCATCTGTACTCGATTCGGTTGAGGGCATTGTGTTCGAAGCTGCTCCGTTCTGAGACATTCCACCCATTTCTGGTGGTAACTGGGGCATTGAGTTCGGCCCTTGTGCAGGCGGAGTAATTCCTGTTGTAATTTCTGGAGTAGGTGTAGTTGATATACTTTCCGCTGTTGTACCTGATTAGGGATTACCGATAATCAATTAATTAATAAAAATTTTCTTCTTAAAATATCAATTATCTATTATATTAATATTATTAAAATTTTATTAGTAGTTATTTTAAATTTGATATTTAATTGCATTGAATTTTAACTTAAATTTTAAACTGAACGATTTATCAGCACAAGTATTTTATATTTCATAAGTAACAAAAATATTAGGTTTTTTTGTTATCAATAAACAGTTATAAATGTATATATGCATATAAAACTTATAATTACTATCGTCTTCATGCAGAATATGAAATTTATGCAATATAGATGTGTTGCATATAGCGCCAAAATTATTAGATAAAAATTAAATTTTTGGAAATTAGATTAACTGATCTTAATAATTAGATATTTTTTTATTAATTTTTAAACTGGGTGCATTTAGAAATTCAATCAGATAATTTTAGGTTTATTACTTATAGTTTACGTTACGTAAACTATAACAAAATGCATACCATGCATCTGAATTCCTAAACATAATTCCTAAACACTTTTATAAACTCGTCTAAAAATCTTAGGAAAGATGTGCAACTGATGCCGACTAGCTATTCTATGATTGGCCAGCGTGTTTCTTGTTCTCAAGAATAGGCATTGATAGGCGCTAACTGACTTATACTCTTTTTGTGATTGGCTAGTGTAATTTTTGCTCAAAGTCATGCAATATAATTAGTTGACGCATCTTTCCTAAAATTTTTATAATCTCATCTATAAAATAGACATAAAAATTTCGTTAATAAAGAATCGCAATATGAAATTAAATTCTGGATAATCATAAAGAAAATGTAAAGGGATTATTCAATTACTTCTAATATTTCCATAACATAAGCAATTACAGTTAATGAATATATTCTAGAATTTATTTTTAAATTACAAGAAACATAATTTTAAATTGTACATTTGAAAACACAATCAATACGAACTAGAAATGTCTATTATCGATCGAAGCTAGATCTTTAATACTTAAATAATTTAATGTGAATTATATATATATATAT